TATCTTCCAATACATGTATCTCTGACACACAACGCTAAAAATTTATTTCAGGCGCTGACGTTAAAAATATTCCCACTGAAAGCAATATGATGACTGCTCTCTAGAGATAAGGATATATCTGGTGAAACTTCAAGCCTCGAAAACACTCTAGCTTGCCTTACTTCGGTGCAACGCCGTCCAAGTTGTGCAACATTCAATGTTCATGCTTGACTCACTGTTTCAGTTTCTTGATATATATTAACACACAATCAAACATCCCAATTTTCTTTAATGGTTTCACAATAGGTGCACACCAGTCTGTCGGTTCAGTGACTTTCGCAAAGGTTCCTGCATCCTTCATTCGGTTTAATTCTGCCACAACCTTTAAATTCACCAACAATGGAAATGGAATTATATGTACTGTTGTTATACACTAATGGAGTGGATTTTGGATTTAGCGTTATCTTCACAGGCGGGATTTATGAACTAGAAAATAAACAGTTCTGATTTCTGAAATCTTAATGTCTTTAAAAGCACGTGAAGAATTCTTCAAACTGTTTTGCCAGAAAATGGAAAAGTGTATGATTTCAAGTTGTATGCATACATGTAATAAAGGAGCCCATATAGAATGTGGTTAGAAAATTACGATATATTTGCATTTGTTTAGAAAACGAACGTTTGTCAGTATATTGAACTGATACATGTACTTAAGATCGGTCTTCAGCCAATGAGATATTATGATTGTAAAATTCGTCAAAATATAAGAAAAAACAAGAAACAAAACGTTTATCAATGATGAACATTACTAAATATATTTAGCATAATATACAATAATAAGAATTAATTTGACATTGAATAAAAATCTATACAAAGTAAGAATAATACTGTAAAGGTGCATGTATATAGAGTAATAGTGAACACTGCTGCTTTGAAAACAATCAACACTGATTATCTTATGAGAATTATGAACAATACAATTCTCTAACCTGGACAAAAAAGTGACCCGTGGAGATTCTAGAGAAGATAATAGGTGACAAGATAGAGTAGACATCCTCTATTTCACACTAAAACATAAAATTACTGAATAGAGATTTTTTACATATGAAAATGTGCATGGAGGAATTCTAGTAATTTTATGTATACCACATATAAAAAAGGATATTCAATGTTTTAATAAATACGTTAAAAATGTACGTTAAGAAAGTTTGTAATATATGTAGAATCTTTGAATAAGAAGAAGACATGTACGTCTCTAGTTTCAATACCACTACTGGACGCTCCTGAAAGGAGACTGTTACACATCCGGACGGCCAGTACGCCCAAGAAAGAGATCTTGCTCGTTGTTTCGTATTTGTAATTGGCGGCAATTTCTAATAAAAAAATATTTTCAAGAATATTTACGGTTTATAAAATCTGTAGATCCTAGATTTAAAAAGGGAGTTTGAAAAGATAGACAGTAATTTTTTTTTAATTTGATGAGTTGCCAAGATGTAATACTGCTTCACTGTATGGTTTCGGCATATTAAACACGTCGATAGATATTAATGTTATTCGGTGAACAAATAGTTCAATAAGGAAACAGCTGATAAATTGAAATGTTGAGATTACTCTCAAGCCAAACTATATTGTGTCGAATGTAAAAACTTTCTTAGTTGCCTTGGTAAAACGATAAAGAGCCACTCGGAGGCTAGCTGCAATTGTCTCATTTTTTGCACTGAAGCATTCCGCGTTCAGAAGCATCAACTCTCCACAATATATGATACCAACTGCGTATAAATCGTCCCCGACTCTCGTCAAAACGATAGATCTACTGTCTCCTTTATCGGAATATGGTTCAAAAGCAACATGCGGTAATATAATCATAACTTCGCCATCAAATAATTCAAAGTCGCTAACTTTCTGGACAAATCCCTCCGTTTTTGATGTAGTCGCGCCATACTTAAATACCAGCCTGTCGGTCAGTGTTGAAAAAGGTTGTCCATAAACATGAACCTTTTCGTTCAACCCTTCAATGGTTTTCAGTAAAAACCCAAGTACCGATTTATGTATTGATATAACGGACACATCATGCACGTTATCAAATGATCTTCCCATTTCGTACATATTTTCATTAGGCCAAATGCAGCGGCCAATCGTTTGAAGAACATGGAGATGTTGAACTTTTGCAAGATCCCCTTCTATGAAAAGATGAACAGATGTAATTGCAACAACGTTTGAAAAATTCTTTCATGATTTTTTTGACTTGAAATTTCTCCAAACATTCCTAAACTATTTTGTATCTTTTTTCTTCATTTATAATTTCACCACCAAACACTGATCACACACTGAGGATTTAACGCTTCTTTTATCAACTAAAATTCTATGTTCCCATTAAAGTGCCTTTCTATTGCTTTTTTGAGTTTGTTTTTGAAATTTGGATTCTAATTACTATAAAAAAATGTGTAAAGTTCCATCACAAAGCCTGTATCCGAAAACCCCATATTTTCCTCCACTTAATAAAGAAAAAACCGTGTTTAAATATCCATAATATTTGAAATAATTTAATTTTATTGTTTAACAGATTTAACAATTTCAGAGGCTGTACACAAAGAAAAATATGCTTCATTATTTTCATGCTTGAACGATTACTGAATTTTAAATGATGTCAATACCTACGCTTAAACATTCCTCACACACTCTTGTGTAAGTTTTGAGTGTACACGGGATTTCTTGGCTAAAAGTTTCTCTTTAGGTTCTTCCAAGTGTTCGATCATTTGCAAGATGATGCCTTCGGCATCGGGTGACATAACACTCCAGGGCTTTCCAGTGACCTTGAGGCAAATATTCTGCTATGTCACCTTAGAAGCCATGTGGTATATACTCAACAAAAAAGTTAAGAGGTATGAAAATCTTTAAATATTTCTACATCTAAAAAAGTATATTTTATCAAAATAATTTACATAATTTCCTCTGTAAAGTTCTTACACATTTGAAAAGAAATAATGTTAAATGTTCACTTGAACAGAAGAACAAGATTAACAATTATGAATAAACCCTTTTAATCAGAGTGAATTTTCATATACAGTAATTGCATAGTTTGATTAATTCAAAACTGACAATTATCCAACAACTCTCAATACTTCCTAACCTTGCCTGAATCATAGCCCTGCAACGAGTGAACGGATGTTCTTTGCAGTATCCGATCCCATTCCTCTAACAGAGCAACTTCGAGTTCATTGGTATAGCATGGAGCAGGATCCCGCTGCTGAATTTGTCTCTAAAGAACATCCCAGACATGTCCAGTAGGATTGAGGTCTGCTGACTTCGAATGTCACTTCATTCTCGCGATAGTCCCAGGGCACTGGTTCACGGTGTTGACTCTGTGTGGCCTGGCGTATCATCCATTAAAACGAATTCTGATCCTATTGCCCAGGCAAATGTTCTCACAATTGGCTGAAGGATCTCTTCTCTGTATTTGATACCGGTCAGTGCTCAAAGTTTGATGATGTACAACTCTGTGGACATCTGAATCGAAGTGCCTCCCTATACCATGACATAACTCACACCAAAGCGACCATGTTGAGCCACGCAGCAACCACTAAAACGCTTATTCTTCTGTCCCCACACTTGTCACTTTCTATCATTAAAATCCACACACAATTTGGTTTCATCACATCAATTTATAATAAATTTCAGAATTGAGATTTCCTTAATTTTACTGCAGTATATTATACACAAACCTTAGCTTTTTTACGTTGAGTATATGTATAATGTCAATAATGTCAATTTGTCAATACCTTATATCGACTTGTCAGTAAAAATTCTTATAGCAAGGACCAATAATAAGTCAGCTGATGCAGGAGCAGAAGTCTACACTGATATTTTGTTAAAGAACACGATTTCCTACATCACAACTCAGGTATTCGAGAATAACCTTAAAGTCATCATTTCGTAAGTTCCATGGTCGATACAATGAGCTTGTCAGCAAATGTAACTGATCATTGAGTCAAATGCTAACAGACGTTTTTCATTATGATTGTTAGTACATGTACATTATTCATACACTAAATTGACGACAGACTTTTCCGTTTTTTATGATCATGACAAGGAACACACGACAGGTGTGACTTGTCCGCAGGGGATGCTCACTCCTCTATGACACCTGATCCCACCTCCAATGTTTCGGAGGTTCGTGTTTACTCTACTCCTATTTTGTATTGTTTTATAAAATTAGATACCGAATACTGTTCGTTATCTCCATATCATACATTAAGTTTCTATGGTATTATGAATAGCAATTGTTCTGCTAGCATATTCCATGATGCGCGCTAGCACCAAATAATCGTTATTTATTACTTGTATATTTGCCAATCGATTGATCATCATGAATCCAAAAAAATCAGACAGTTATTCTTTTTACTTAGATGCCCTTGATTTTTTTAAATTCACGAGCTAATAGCCCTGATTTTGTTTCTTTTTAGGCCACCCTGTATGTGAATTTAATAACCACCAACCAGTCGATTTGTGTTAAAATAAAGTTTTTTTTACAATTTGTAATTTAATCTCAGACATAGACATTTTAAATCTTAATATATATTGTTATAAATAGAACACGGCACCCTACATCCATAAAATGTGAAATTTGATATTCCTCCCTATTTTGCTTTGTAATTTGTCTAAAAATTAGAATAACGTTTTAGAATATTACCATATCATAAGGAGATTTGTAAATTTACTCTTATTTAAAATCATTTACTTAATACATTAACATGTATACGCATGTAACACCATGGTTTCATCATAGTCAGTAATTTGAATATGTTGAAACATGTAATAAGTGTTTATCATCATCAGATTTCACAGCATAGAGTTCTGATTTCTGTTAACATTAATGACACCATTAAAATGTTAGCTCCTGTAACAATTAATTTTTTTAACAATTTAAATGCAATTCACAAGAACTTGAATTCATATTCACAATTTTATTTCACTCAGCCACAGAGATTATCTCAGAAACAAACAGTTTTATGTGTATATATTATTTACATGTATTTGATTATCTTCAATTTACCACTGCCCCAGTCACCTACAAAGAAATTGTCTATGGTATCTATGCATAAACTATATGGACGCCATAGGTCACAGTTATCAATGCAACGGAGAAACTGTCCATCCTGATCTAGGATGTGGATACAGTTGTTGAAACAGTCTACTGTTAAGATATGACTCTGGCTGTCTGTTGTGATGCCGCATAGATAAAACGATCTCTTGGTAGTAGTAGGATGACCAGTGTATCTAAATCGGAGTCTTCCTGCCTGATTAACCACCACTACTGCTTCGGCTCCATAGTCAGCCACACAGATATCCAGGTTCCTGTTCTCACTGATGTATTTGAGGTCATCAGATGAATACAGAGGTTTACCTTCACTATCAAACCGAATGGTTTGTTTCTCCGTAGAGCCAGTGTAACGGACAACTTTTGATTGTTTATCATTATCACTGACCATGGTAACTAGGAGGTCACAAGAAGAGGAACTACACACATTGTAAGGTTTCCATACCTGTAGTCTGTTCACTTTCTGTATACGGTCATTCTTCACAATGTTTACAATTCTTGTTTCAGGGTCGCTATAAACCAGATCTCCACTCCTTGTCACTGCTATGCCACGTGGTCTCTTCCCTGACTTGGTTTTGATTTACTTTAGTAGTTTGCCCTAGAGGGTGTAGAGTTTCATGATTTTGTTATCTCCACATGTCCAGATGTTCTGTATACCTTTTTAGCTCACCTGAGCCGAAGGCAAATTTCAACCAAACTTGGCAAAAAGTATTCTGAGGTGAAGGGGATTCAATTTTTTTCAAATGAAGTTAGAAATACTGTAAATCACGTTTTATTCGCGAGAACTTAATTTTTGCTTAATTACTCGAGAAAATGAGCTCGCGAAAATTTCATTCTTGCATTTAAAAGTATTCCTAATGATTATATAGAGGAGAAAACAACAATTCGTGAAAATTATGTCTCGCTAATAAAGAGTAAATGACTATCTCGCGAAAATAAGGTGTCGCGAAAATTAAGTGATCTACAGTAGTGAAAATTTGACGATGTTTTAAAAATTAGGAAAGATGGAACTTATATTGGGGCCACAGTGGTTGATCAAAGTTTTTACATAGAAATATATAGGAAATTCTTAAAAATCTTTCTCTCAAGAATAGCAAAGGCATGAATGATCATATTCATGTGGAAGCATCCTCAGGTAGTGGGGATTCAAGTTTATTAAATCATGACAACTTGGGGTAAGGCGGAGCTTCAATGGCTGATCATAGTTTCGAAATATATAGGGAAGTTCTTTAAAAATCTTTTCTCAAGAATAGCAAAGGCATGATTGATCATATTCAAATGGAATCATTCTCAGGAAGTGAAGATTAAAGTTTTTTCAAATCATGACCCTTGGGTGTAGGGCGGGTCCACAATGTAAGTTGAAATTTAAAAGGGCAATAAATCCACAGGTAGACAAAGAAATATGCAAGCATCCCTAGTAAGTGTAGATTCAAGTTTGTTCAAATAATACCCTCTCCCCTTTAAGGATTGGTTGGGACCACTATTGGATTTAAACTTTCAATGATAATATGATTTTTGCTTTTTTTCTTAGTCACATTGCTCAGGTGAGAAAATGTGGCCCATGGGCCCCTTGTAAATGTATTAGGAAGAATACGAACAATTCTTTTTTCGATGAGTGTAATCTAAAGAATAAAATAAAAAACTATGAATAGAAATTAATGTATTAATCTACACTTGGGGTCATGAATGACAGCAACTAAGGTAATGTCTTGTAACATTTTGAATTATCTAAATATAATTTTCTCTCACATCTAAATCTAACATGGCTTCTCTGATAATCCTGTACATCACAATTTAATTCCTTGTCTTCGTTCTAAATGAGGTTATGTGATTTAAATACCTGAAGCCTTGTATGCATTTATTGTTTGTAGATTTTTTTTAAAAACCAATTAGCCAACAATTTTTTTAAGCTCTTTCGACTTGATTTATACTACCGGGGTATTTGATTTTATGAATCTAATATTTTCAGATTGATTTGTCAAATGTCATAAATTAAAAGAATTATTTCAATGCAAATAACCTGAGCTTTCACTTGTACATCTTTAGGAGGGGTGGAATTCTTTTTTTGTACAAAAATGTGACCAAGAAACTCCATAATTACCTAAAAATAAAAAAGAATATATTGTGACCAGAAATGTTCATTGACCCTATACTTCTGTAAGTTCATTTTGGACAAGGTCATGCATTTAACAAATAATCAACAATTTTAAAAAGTTCTCTTTTAGTTGGTCACGTGATCAATTCTTTGAAGCCCAAAGGGCTTCTCAGTAGATTTGATAACGTAGCAACTTAAAGTTCATTTCCCTCTGAACTTTTTAATATTGTTGTTTATTACTTATATTTCCATTTAAGACGAATACATTTCGTGTAAAACTGCATTTACGAACGGGCCGCCGCATGGTTATGTTGTGACGCGAAATAATCAGTTCGCTCACTCCAACATTTTAATGTTTACATCTATGTTAAGCAGTCTAGTTCAGGAAATAACTATATAATTAAATTGAAAGAACAATAATTGCTCCTGAAAATAATCTAAATATCTAAAAAATTTTTTTTAAATATTTGAAGTCAAAGTGGTGGTATCGCAAGTTTTAGTTTACATAACTCCAAAGGAATTTCGGGTTAAAAAAGTAAGTGCGGTTAGGGGTCAAACATGTTAGAATTCAAAACCTTATTTACATCGAAAAATTTATTGTCATTTTATCATTTTCATCGTTATCAACAAAGAAATATTACAAAACAAGCTACACCGTATAAGAAATATGTTGACAAAATATCACCTTGCTTTGATTCGGTCGCGCTATGACCTCTGACCCCCCAAATGAAATTCACACAGAATTGAACACATTTTCTCTTCAATGGTTCATCTAATAAATACATTTTCAAATGTAAATATAGGGTATTAAAATATTAAGTTATGGCTGTTGTTATAGCCAGAGCCTTGAAAAAAGTCTATAAAGGCAAAGATTGCATTCTTTTTAAAAGATCGCCAAAGGTAAGTTGGACAAGGTCACAGGTTTTAGAAATGAAATTGCAAAAATCAAAATTGAATGTTTATAAAATCTGAAAATTGTACTAATCTTGTGACTCGGGGGTATGTAAAAAACTAGTCATTTGTACGGGGTCATGGTAACATGGTACAATGTAAACCAAATTGTTTTTATTATTATTATTATTATTATTATTATTATTATTATTATAAATAAATATTAAAGTTATATAAATAATAATATACAATTATGGACTCTTTTGGTGTAGAATATGGTTTGTTATTCACCAGAAAAATATTCATATTGACCGAGGCGAAGCCGAGGTCAATATGGATATTTTTCTGGTGAATAACAAACCATATTCAACACCAAAAGAGTCCATAATTGTTTTATTATATAGTCGGGATTTGAATAGATAAGACATTGAAGGCTGTATGACGACACCATTTTTATTTGCGTTCTTCCATTGTTGAAAATAAAAAAATCTCCAAATTACTGGTTGTAACCGCCGTGTTTTCCATTCCGAGTTTTGCTATGTGTAAGACGTCCAGATGTTAAATAATAATCCTGAAAAAGGTTTGAATAATTGTTTTCCTGCTCAGATACTAGCTCGCTGCGGCCGTTGCAACCATTGTTCACAACGTTGTTCGATGTTTTGATTGTGACGTCACAATGCCGTAGCACGCGCATTGACCCTCCGGTGAATACGGCCAAAAATCCGGTGAATATGTAGTGTTATGAACTGTTTGCGTTTGTACAGATTATATAGGGACAATAAATAGACTATATAATAAAATTAATTATTTTGAAAATCTGGAAAATATGAATTCAATGTATATGCAACAAGTATACCACAGAATCAATTTTCTAGATAATATACGGGAAGTATCTAAATAAAATAGTTTAAAAAAATATTGCATCCAAATCAATGGCCATATACATAAGGCAAGGGATTGCTTTCAATGGATTATTCCTATTTTGCTTTGTGGAATTCAGCAATATATAGATAGAAACTATTGATGTAGTCTAGCTCAATTCATCAAAATATTTCTTTTTCTTTTAATGTGTATTATTGTGTGTTTTGTGTAAACCGTTGAACTGTTATAAATTATAAATATTTCCCTGCACGTAGGTTCACTTCCTTATTGTTGACTTAATTGTGCTTTGCATACCATAATTGACCGTTCACGGTAGCCTAGTGGTAGAGCGTTCGCTTCGTGATCGGGAGGTCCGGATTCGATTCTCGTTCCCGGCGCCGCGTCAAACCTAAGACGTAAAAATAGGTAGTGACTGTTCCTTCGCCAAGCGCTCGGCATTAGAAGTGAAAGTCACGGGTCTTTCGGATATGACCTTAAAAACGTAGGTCCCGTGTCACGGTAGGCGCAGGCACGATAAAGAACCCTCACTGCTCAATGGCCCTGAGTGCCGAGTATAGGTCTAAATTTGAAGCCCTTCACCGGCATACGGTGACGTCTCCATATGAGTGAAAAATTCTCGAGAGGGACGTTAAACAATATACAATCAATCAATCAATCATACCATAATTGAACAAATAAATGAAAAAGGCGTCCTTCTTCCTTTACTGTTATACCGAGAAAGTATATTGTTTAGGAAGCTAAGTGATATTATAGTGCATTTAGTTTTTTATCTATATAAAATAACGAGGAAATTGTTTTGGCAATAAAATATGTTCTATAGAAACAAATTAAAAAAAAATGTAAGAAATAAAACAAGTTTAATTCTTCCAAAAAGGGGCATTTTCTATCAATATCTTATTGAAGAGACTAACCTATATTTGACATAGAGGTTCCAGCAATATGATCACAAAGAAGAATAAAGAAGAACTCCATGCTAAATGTAACTTAGGGACAAATGGTATCTTATCAATAAATCCTTGATATTTTCAATTTTTATAAACATATAAAATAAAAATTAACCACTCAAAACTCAACTTCGCATTACTTAGCGAAAACAAAAAGAAAAAAAAATATTTGAAAGACATGATGATTCAATTAAAATATTTTTAGTTGATTTTTTTGAAGAACTTTTCTTTATGTTCAAGTGCTTTTACCATAAGTTATCAATATTTGTATTCTATAATGATATAATTAAATGACTATGAAACTTTTTAAACTGAAATATCGGAAAATAATGCAAAGTGTTTAAGCTCAGAAGATCATACAACAATACAAACTGGACCAGACAAACACAGACCTCTAAAATAAGAAGTGGGATCATGTGCCGAGAAGGAGAATGCGTGTCCTGCTGACCGGTCACATCCTTTGTGTGTTATTTGGCATGATCGGGGAATAAGGGGGAAATACTTCAACGGTATAGTATGTATACGTAAAATCGCCTGAAATTAGTATAAAAGACGTCATTCAGCAATTGATTTCATCTTTGCAACCAAGTCATTGTATCAACTATAGAATGACATGAAATGTTTCCTCAACTTCTTTATCAATGATAGTCTACATTGATTTAGAAGTTGTTCATGCCGGGAGCATACTTATAGGTATTGAATCAACGTCGAGATATAAACCCCGTATGCAAGTGTAAATGGTACAATGTGTATTGCTGTAAAAGTAAAGAAAAGTGACGATTGAAAAGTTAAAGTCCTTATGTTTATCATAAAGCTTTGTTGTAAGATTACGATTATCAATTATTCCAAGTAGAATATTCCATTATAAAACAGATGTATCAGACTCTGTGTGTTGTTTTATCAAACTCACTTCAAATATTTTAATTACATTAGAGATGAAATAACCATTGTTAATTGACAATACATATATGTTAACGATATAATTATTTATTGTTCATTTAATTGATTGATTGATTGTATATTGTTCACTCATACGGAGACGTCACCGTATGTCGGTGAAAGGCTTCCAATTTTGACCTTTACCGGCACTCAGGGCCATTGAGCAGTGAGGGATCTTTATCGTGCCAATGCCTGCCGATGACACGGGGCCTCGGTTTTTAAGGTCTCATCCGAAGGACCTGCAACTTTCACTTCAAAGTTCCGAGCGCATGGCGAAGGAACAGTTGCTACCCATTTTATCGACTGCGTCAGTCGCGGCCGAGATACGAACTCACGACCTCCCGATCACGGAGCGTGCGCTCTACAGACTCATTTGAAAGCAACAGTGAGTGTTTTCTTCTTTCGTGTAAATGATTTTTGAACAAATTCTGCCTCATCTGAATACAAAAATAGGTCTGCTATTAACAGGGCGCAATTGGTCTCCGTGGAAGTTTTAATAGATTGTTTGAAGACTTGGTCTCCAAAAACTGAATAGATATTGTCAATCAGGAACTCAACTTTTTTTTTCACTTTAGCGTTCTTGTGTGTACAATCAGAATGTTTATAAATTAATTCTGCAAATGAACAACGACAGGGAAATAAAATTAACGAGTTCCAATAAAAAAGAATGGGTTTCAATGATGTCAAAAATCCTAGACTTCAGTGAGTTCATATCAGATTTCTGTAAAGCTACCCTACTGAATACTATTAGGACTGATAGCTTAATCCAAAAATTGGAACCAAAACTGGGGGACAATATGCTTTTTTTGGGCTAAACATTTAATATAACTATTTTGAACTAAAATTATATCTTAGTCTTAAATCATATCTTCAAAGTTTTCTCTCCAATTTGTATATCCAGATAAATCAAAATAGAATTTTAAAAGGGGAAGGGAAGCAGGTTCTTCTAATTTGATAAATTGGTAATTGAAAATCTACAATTTCCCTCTTTTTTCACAATTGATTAGTTCTCAAACAAACGCCTGGTGAATATATGCTAATACGACACTTTTCTTACTCCGACGATTGATTCTTTAATAAATAAGAGTAATTTTTTCTATCATAGGATTGTATCCTTTAAGGTACTTGGACACAGATTTGAAGTTATTATTTTCTCTATAATATTACGACTTATATATTTTAATAGCATTTCACACAAAAATTAATTAAAAATCTCATTTCGTTTAAAAGATATTGAAATTTCAAATTTTTCGGCGGGTTTGATTGACATACCCTTGCACTCTCACAAATTTAATTTTATTCTTAATCCCTAGGAAAAGTGGCAATCTCGTTTTGTATAAATGA